TCAAAAAATCGAATTTATATCCCGATTGGACTATATGTTTTTTGGCTATATCCTGATCGGGATATATTTTGATTCAAAACGGGATATATATCCCGATCGGGATATAGAGCATGCGTCTGTACTGCCTTCTCGCTCTCTATAATTTATTGAATTTGTTTGTTTCGATGATGTAATTGATTCTCTATGTGAATAACAGTTATTCCATCATTGCAATGAATGGGTAAGATTGTTAGTCGATCATTTCTGTGCCTGTTGTCCCAGTAAAACAAAACAAAATTCATAACTCTTGAAAGAAGTACCATGGACACAAATCCTTTTACAGTTTTAACTAGAACACTTTCTTCTATCAACTGGCATAAGCTCACTGAAAACGGAGTTTGACATCTGAGAAGATTCGCTCAATAAATTCATCATATCTGTTAAACGAAAGTTTGCACAGAACTCTATGACATCTCATTTAATTTTGAAAAGTTTGCTCTACAATTCGGGATGATGTATGTACTACTCACTCTTTGGTCGAAAATTTGTCACGTAATTTCACTTCATACGTGATCATTTCTCTTTCCATGTGTTTGTTCTAATAAACTTTTTTGAAATAATTCGTCAAAATTTTTGATACTATTCTTGAATTTTATGATAAAATATATTGACTAAAGATGATTTATTTAAATTAAGATAAATTTTATTTATTCTGTTCATCTAACAGTTGTTGTTGATGTCGATCATTTTTTCGAATTAGACAAAAAAAAAGATTATGTATTTCATGACGAAAATTACTAGCCATAAAAGAATAGACAAAAAAAATTAATTGTATGACTTGTAAATTGAATACATAATAAAATTCCTTGTAAAATATATTTTAATGGTTTTTTCTTTTCAAATAATTCTCTTAAAAAAATATGATAAATCATGGCTGGTAATGTTAATAGAATAAATAAAAATGTAACAAGTATTAACATTCTTGTTGATTGTCGTTGTTTTCTTAAACGAAATTTTATACTTTTATTAATTATTGATGTTTTTGTTGATTGTCGTCTATTAGTAGCAAGTATTCGACGAATAATAAATAAATTACATATACTCATAACCGTAAATGGTATTAATGTATAACTTATTAAATGAACTTTTTCCCATTTTGGAAATACATAACGATCATCTGTCAATCGTTTATAGCATATAACACATGTTTGTTTACCATTTGGAATACAATTTTGTTCAATAAATCCATTAATAAATAATAAATGAGAATTAAGAACAAGAATAATAGTAGCAACAATAATAATAATATATGTGGAAATATAAGGTTTACCAAAATCTTTTTTCCAAAATAAAAAGTGAATATTCATCATACGATCAAAACTAACTAACATTAAATACCATGATGATAATTGTAATGATGAAAAAGCTAAAAATGATATTAATCGACATGTATACAAAGATATATCTTCTAAATCATTTTGATATGAATTAATTATATATTTATAGAATAAATTTAAATTCCAACTATAAAGAGTACATAGATCAGCAATAGCTGCTGCCGTTAAATAACGCATAGTTGTATTACAACGTAAACTAGGTCGAAGTAAAATATAAATTGTTAAAAGATTACCTAAATAATGAAAATTTTTAATGAATAATTTTTATTTAAATAGAGAATAGAAAATTATCTTACCAATTGTGCCAATAATAACTAAAATTGCAGCATAACTCGCTACACCATAGAGTATAGGATGATGATAACTAGTTTTTTGTGATAATGATATATTCGTAAACAATGAATAGTTATCCAATGTATCCATTAGAAGATCATACGGCATTCGTAGATTAACAACATTTTCATATGCATACTAGAATTAAATAGATATTGTAATAAATTATCAATCGCTATGTCAGATGTCACTTTTTCTTAGGTATTTTTTTAATTATTTTATCTATCACCAAAATAGTGTAGTACTTGTGGATGATATTCAGGTGCGTCCCGATAAGGGAAGGATTCTTCCCCTGCTTT